CAGAGGAACTTCAAAGACTGCCATTGATTCTTCTCATCCTCCCCACGAGGGACGCCGAGCAAGGTATAAGCACCTCTAAATGAAAGACAAGATTCGGCGTTAAATATAATGAAACGAATCAATCAAGCAGCTGCCAAAAGTGAATCTCGCCTCTAATTTAAATTCAGATATCAGGAGACGTCTTGCTGAGTTTGCGATGAGGGGACCAGCGGGGGTTTGTGTTGAACACATGGCTTCCTTCTGCCCCACCACTCCCCACCACCGTGCTCATTACATCCATCGGGGGAGCTAATGAGAGAGCAGGCTGGGTCTGACCGCAGTCTGCAGTTTAACGTCTAAACACATGGCATCTCCATCCACATCGCCCACGGTGTCGGGGCCCAAAATCTGCCCACCACATGTGTAATTAACTGCTTTCTTTCTGGCATCTGGCGGCTCTCATTCTTTCGCTATCAGATCACAAAACTGCTCTGTAGGCGACGCAAAAAAACAAAAAAAAAGCAAAGTTCCTTTTCCCGCACCTGAAATCCTTGATATCTCTGCAGTGTATCGGGCATGTGTGTGTGAGGACAGACACCTCAGCAGGACTGACAGGGAAATGATAAGGTATTAGATCTCTGCTGTCTTAAAAAAAATGCAATACGCGCTGACAGTGTTCCATGTAAACAGGTCCCGTCTCCCTCCTTGACATAAGAGAAGGAGAGAAAAGGTGTGTGATGTTTGTTCCTGTTTAATGCAGCACTTCTGCCAAGCTTCCCTAAAGCCTCAGCCTACTGCCAGACTTTTATGTGGGATAGGGTAACCAGGGGAAGCTTTCATAGCTCCCTACCAGGTGACATCAGACATCCCCCCTCTCTGCCTGCCTACCACCCATCCTCCCACTGGAAAACACTGCACATCTTTGTTCTCACATCTCCCCTCTTCTAGCTCACCCCCTAAATATAAGTGCACACACCTTTTTTCTAGTGTATTCTTCAAACCATACGATGCACAAGTCATTCTGTAAATCTTCACAAACAAGCAGGAGGCCAACAGGAGAATTGTTTACACAGTTCCTCTGGCATCGGGCCGTGAAACATGGCAACTTGATCAGACGTCTGGATCCAAACTGGAAAAATACAGGATACCGTTGGCTTCCTTGTCAAGTTGCTTTTTACTTCAGGAGTTTTGCTTTAATTGTCATGCTTGAATTTTCAACAATGCTTCGTATCGCTGTGTGCAGATCCTTATCCAAACCAGGCCAACAATCCCAGTTATTTCCTTAACTCGACACAGAGAGCGCCTTGGGAGACGAATCCTGAGCGAGTTCTCCAGGACGTACACAGTTTCTAGAAACACAAAGTCACCTGGAGCCGACACTTAAGAGGGCGCCACAGGAAAAGCCTCGGCGACCGCCGGGCCGACCAGCATTCCTGCTCCCGCTGACCATTAATTGGACCTGATTGTGGGGTTCCCCGATAATGAAAATGAAGCAGTATCAATATAAAGAAAAGGAGCACCGGTTCGTAAACAAACCAGAGTGTAACCGGAGAGGGAGTGGGGCCATTGAGAAATAAAAGCCCTCCATTCCAGGAGAAACCAACTTGGCCTTGACTCAAAACCAGATGTGAGCGGTTAGAGTAGAAGAGAGGGGTGAGGAGAGGGGGGGACGGGGCTGTGCTGAAAATATGGGGGAGCTAAAGAGAGAAGGTCAG